TGATGTAAGCAGGCAGCCCAGGGTGTGTATTACATGACTTAAAAACAACAGAGAGGTATAAATACATTCCAAAGGAAATGAGCTAATCAGAAGGACTTTCAGTGAAGTGACCAATTAGACTTAGGTTGCTATTATAATTTTTATACATGTAAAGTTTTATTAATGTCCTACTATTACATTTGATTAGTGCTTAATTAACATGTCTGTTGTTTTGTTTGCTTAACAAAACAAATTATATTCCTAATCTTTATCCCTCCCCTTTTTTCCCAGCCATTGATAAAATTAATTCCATGTTTGGTAGTATTCTGTATCTTCTTTCTGTTTAGTCTTCAATGTGAGTCTCCATTTCTACACACTCCAATATCTTCCTAATTATCTCTTCATCTAGGTTGCTATTTAATTTGAATCTGCGAATGGATTTCAGGAAAGAATTTGCATTCCCCGCCCCCTTTAACTAATCCGATTCCTTCAACCATAAGTAGAATTCATTTGTTGGTTTAGGGTATACCAATGAGAGCAAAACATACCTTAAAAGTTTACACTTTTTATAAGCAAATAAAGCTCCATTATAAACCCAGTTGTCTGTGGAGATTCTCAGTCATCCATGGTTGTCCCAAAGGTTTTTTTTCCCAGAGGCTGACCAACCTCTCTCAGAGCTGAAGAAGCTTCTTGGATGAGAAGCGAAACGTCTTCAAAGAAAAAACAGAAAGTCCAGTTGCCTCTTGGGAAAAAAACCACTTATGAACATGGTTAATATTTGAAGATAAATTATTATTATTTTTATAAAAAATTTATTTGGGTTTTCACAAAACATAATACAAGTAAAATTTCTTTTTTTGAGAATAGCATGGTCTCGGGTTATCACTTCTCCATCCAGACACAAATTCAATTTCATATTCATTTTTGTGTTCTATTCCATATCTTATTGCTATTTTAACATTTTCTCAATAATTTTTCCCTTCCCTTAGTTTTTTCAATCTTACCTTTAATTATCTCATTCCTTCCTAAATTCAACTATATATATCTTTTTGTAAGTTTCAATATCTTTCTAGTCATTATATTTATACTTTTGTCTGTCCTGTTTCAATTTCATATTTTCTTTTCTCATTAAACAACATTTTTCCCTGCAGTTACTAATTGGAGTATGCCACCTTTGTATCTTTTCATTTTTATCCATTCAACTCTTATTTAAACTTCAATTTATGCCTGTACAATTATAACGTTCAATATAGCATATAACTTCCAGTTGAATTCTACTTGGTACATTCTTAAAATATGCACTAAGTTCTTAATGAGAAAATATATATATAACAATAATAAATAAAATACTTATTCTATTCCAATTCAGCTCTATCATTAATGTTAGTTATAATCTTTAACATCTTTAACATTTCTTTTCAATAGGGTATCATACTTCTAGGAATACTTATAATATTTCCATAATTTTTCATGTTTCTTTCATATTCCTCTTCACTTAAATTTTTATAACACATAATAATTAAAATGTTCCCCTCCTTTTCTAATTTTATTCTCTCATTCTCTTTATTTCATTTATTTATTAAACATTCCATTCCATTACAGTGAGTATTTTATCTATCATTTTAATCACACTTGTTTCATATTTTCAAAGTTGATTTCTATTTCTAATATAACAATACTATCTTATGTACCCTTGCAGAATCCCCCTTTCAATTAAGTTTTCACCCGTTACCTCTGTGTCTTGCAACTCTCCTCGACCCTGCTGGCAATCTCCCCCCTCTTCACCACCTCTACAGGGTGGCTTAGCCCCGAAACCAGCCGGCTCAGGGCGCTCCAGCATTGAGCACAGATCGAAACTGCGCACGATCGCAGATTTCAGTCTGTCGCCAAAGAAACTCAAACTGGAACCAATATTTGAAGATAAATTATTGACTCCTTTTCCCTAGCATGTTTTTCCCCTTCAAGCAATTTTGCTAAAAATATTTAGAAGTTCAACCCTTTTACAGGTGTAAAAGGTAGCTTTGATTTTCCTACCAATACCATCCTAGTTTTGCCTTAAAGTCTGTTAAATGTTCAATAACGTTAAATAATTGTAACATTATTGAAGCATCGTTTAAATGGTTTTAACCAGTAGGAACCAAGAAATTGATATAAACTGAAGCCACTTTGCCAAGCACCAAAGGATAATGGGAAACTTTCTTGTTATTCCAGTAAAAACAACAGTTTAAAAAAATTTAGAAGCTCAACCATTTTATAGGTGTAAAAGGTAGTCCTGATTTTCCCACCAGTACTATCCTAGTTTTGCCTTAAAGTATGTTAAATGTAACCAACAAGATGTTAAAAGGTTATATTTATGTAGTTAACTTATCAAGCACATCTAAATTATATTAAAGTAACCAAAATATCTTTACAATCCCCAAGGCGTGTCACAACTTTTGAGCACCCCTAATGGCTTGGCAATTAAAAGTTGAAAAATTTGACACACCCCAAAATTTAGGTATCTGATGCCTAGCAGTGTAAATATTGATGAATCATTTTATCCTGTTGCTTGAGTGGTGCGGTGGCCTAGATTAGAGGTGGACCTCTCGCCTCACAATCAGGAGGCTGTGAGTTCGATCCTAGATAAAGGCAGATATTTGTCTCTCTGGGCACAATGGGAGTATATCTGTTGAACAAAACTCCGCACTGACAACAGGAAGAGCATGCGGCCAGTAAAAACTCAGTTCCATTCAGTTGCCCAGACTCCATCCTGCAAGGGATTATGGGGTTGTTAAAAGAAGATGATGATTTGATCCTGTTGCTTTTGGTTTGCATAGGCAGCAAAATAGCCCAAGAGATTGAAAAGCAGAGAAGAGTGGAATATATAATCCTAATGCCATTTGGAAATGTTTTCTAATACTTCAAATTCGAAGACATTATTTTAAAAGATAAATGTGAAGATACTCTCAAGTTAGCTTGAATCTTGGGGATTATATGGATATATGTTGGTTTGCCATTCTTTTCTCCTGTGAATGTTTTCCAGTAAATCGCTTCACTTGTATAACTTACTGCTTTGACATTTCCTCTTGATTTATCAACTAATTTATCAATTAACGAATCCTAAACCTGTTGAGCTTCCAAGCCAAGATCATGTTGGTCCAATACTTTTACCTGTTGAGACATATTAAAGAACATGAATAGAATAGAATAGAATAGAATAGAATAGAATAGAATAGAATAGAATAGAA